TTGTGAGCATGCACCAGCTCTTACACAACTTAAGACGTCCATGGTACAAATTAGGTACTAAAGAATAAATGATTGTTGTGTAAAACAAAACTGAGTAATGATACAAGAATAAAGTGACACAAGTCAAGCAATGGCTATTTTAAAGGAACTCAGGGATAAATACCCAGTGCATAATGCACTGGTTGCCATCCCTGAGAAAAGGCTAGAATGCTAATTCCTCAGGCGGTGATTTTTAACTGTTTTCCTCACTGCTGTGTCCACATAACCTAGAACAGGACTTGGAATAGTAGGAGATCAACAAATACTTGCAAAATGAATGAAGAATGGATGAGACGCTCTTACCAGAACTGCTCGGCCACTGCAGGTTGAACCTAAGAAACATTCCGTAGCACAGAATTTGCCCCGTTACCTCTGTGACAACAGCTGATATTCAGAGAGCCTTCTATATGCCATGCTTAAATTAACTGTTTCTTTTTACTCCTTGCAACAAACCCTTTGACATAGGCCCCATTTAACAAAGGAGAAGTAGAGGCAAAAATGGCCCAAAGTGACCCAGGTAGGAAAGGGAAGAGCCAGGCTTCAAAGTCAGGAAGTCTGGCTCTGGAATCTGGTTCTGACCAACAAACACAGAGAAAAATGGCTGCATTCGTTCCGCCTAAGCTTAGGGACCTCATTTGATCAAACCTGTCTGATTCTAGCCAAATATAGAAGCATGAAAACTTGGCAAGGAAGTCTGTTGACTTTTTTTTTTTTTTTAAGTCCAGCTGTGAATTTACTAAGAACAGGACAAGTTTTCTGGGCCCAGGGAATTTCCCCCCCAGAATATTTTCCAAGCACCTCGTGGTGATGACAGCCTGCCCTTTGCTTGGCGTGCAGCATCGCACCCTTCAGAACTTCTTAAACACTGAGATGTTGGAGGAGGGGTGAGCAGTGACTCAGGAGCCACACTGGATGGCAGGAAGGTCACTCAACTGAAATGAATGGGTACTAATAAGAGCTTCCAGGTTCTGACCACCTACTACACTCCAGTCCTTACGAAGCCTTTACCTCATTTCATCTTCACAAGGAATAGGCAATGGTTATTATCATTTTTACAGATGAGGGTTGTTCAGAAAGGCTAAGAGACTTGACTAAGGGCACACAGCTGGTAGTTGTTAGAGCAGAGATTTGAATCCAGTTCTGTCTGGCTCCAAAACCAGTGTCTTGTCACATTCCAGCCCCCTTGGCCTCCTCGTATATGCTATAAATGATGGCTGAAGAGCCCATGACTATCACATCCTTCAGGCGCCTGCAAAGAACTTTACCATAAAACCTCCAAATCGCAACTTATTTCTTAATCTATATAGCTTCTGCTAAAGAAAACCAGGTGACAAAACCACCAAAGTCAAAGAGAAGTAATGAGAAAGAAATGGCTGAAATCTGGTGCTCTGATCATAAGCCATCCTGGCATCTTTCACATACTGAAAATTCTAGAAGGCTGGATAGTCAAGCTGCAACACGTAATTCAGAAATCCCTAGTGTAATAACAGCTTATTTTTCCCCAGAATCTACTGCTATGACATATGAAAGATGAAAATGTCTGCTGTGAAAGAAAATGATGAGAAAGGGTGATGCTCTATGTCAGGGAACCCAGAATGAACCCACAAATAATGGCATAGGAATGAAATGTACATGTGGGGAAGTGGGGCCAGATGAAACAAGAAAGGCAGAAAGTTAAGGGTTGTGGAAACTGAGCATACACATGGGAGTTCACCGTACTAGTTGATGTACTTTTGCATGTGTCTGAAATTTTCCATTAAAAAAAAAAAGTCATGCCCCTCCAGCTAGATTACATCCCTAGGAGGTTAATGATCTGGGTTCCAAGCCTTCCTGGACATGTACTATAACTGCTGGGCCCTTGGTCTTGTGGGGAGAGGTCAAGATTAAAATCAGGTTGGTTCCCTTGCCCAGTCCTTGTCTGCTCTCTGCTGACCCATCACCAAGGGCCCCAGCATGCCTTATAGCCAAAACCCTACAGCAAATTCCACCTTAAAAGAAGTAAGAGTGGGGGTTGAAACCACCATTGTCTCTCAGAATTAGAAATGACCTTTCAAAAGATTGTTAAACCAGCGGCGCCTGGGTGGCTCATTGAGCATCCAACTCTTGATTTTAGCTCAGATCATCATGATCTTGGGGTTGTGGGATCAAGCCCTGGGTGGGGCTCCACAGTGGGAGTGGAGCCTGCTTGAGATTCTCTCTCCCTCTCTTAAAAAAAAAAATTGCTAAACCATCAAACCAGAAAAAGATAAAAGAACAGGCTCAATTAGGATGCAGCAGACGTCTGGTTAGTGAGTTGGCTCAGAGGTTACCCATAAGGATGATATCATTGTACAGAATAAGGAAGTTGGCAACAACCCAGATATCAGTGAGTGGCTATGCCAGGAGGGAAGCTGACCCCTGAGTGCTGAGTGAAGGACAAACCTAAGCAGGTTTTGGTGGACTCTAGACAGACATCACCTTATTCCTTTAACACTTTACAGGACAAATGGAAAGATTAGCCAAGCCTTTAAAATCATCTGAAGAAACACTCTCTTTTAGAAATCTATGGGAAAACATGTTAAAAAGGTCCTGGTTATGATAGGATAGTTTTGTTTGGTTCATCTAAAGGCAGAGAAATAGGTCTACTGCATCCTTTAGAAAATAAGTAAAAAAAAAAACAACAGGGTAAACAAGGCACAGAATGGGTAAAACTAATAAACCTGGGCTCTGCAGGTCATCTGTTGTGAGTCAGTCTACCTGGTTCTGGTACTTTGGCTGTGAAAGATCAATCATGGGTTCACAAAGCATTCCTATGTCCCATGACCATAGGTTTCTCCCCTAGCTCTGGTCAGCAATCTTTAAAGTATGTTCCAAAGATCTCAAGTCCAAGAAGAGGGGCAGAAGAGAGAAAGTGGATGCAGATCAGCCATACTGTTTGTTTTTTTTTTAAGTATTCATTTATTTGAAAGAGAGAGAGCACACATGTGCAAGAGTGGGGAGGGGCAGAAGGAGAGGAAGAGAGAATCTCAAGCAGACTCTGCACTGAGTGCAGAGCCCAACATGGGGCTGGACCGCATGACCCTGAGATCATGACCTGAGCTGAAACCAAGAGTTGGACACTTAATGGACTGAGCCACCCAGGCGCCCCTCAGTCACACTATTTAAAACCCAACCCAGACTACCCCCCAGTAGGTTCCACTGAAAATAAAATCCAGTCCTCACCACCATTGCTCCCACCTTGTTCCTTCCTGACTCACTATGTTTCAGGCAACATTCCTTGAACTCACCAACCTCATTCTTGCCTCAAAAGTTTTACACTTGAGGGTTCTCTGCATTGTATGCTATTCCCCAAATCATTGCATGGCTATCCAGAGCTCAGATCAAAGGTCACCTTCTCAGAGAGATCTTTCCTGACTACCTGAGCTGAAGTAGCACCCCAAGTCACTCTCTCTTACATCCTGTTTTCTTCATACCACATGTATCTGATATTACTATTTGATTACTTTTTAGTCATCTCTCTCTCCAGTAGAATGTAAACTCTATGAGAGCAGGGTCTTGACTGGTTTGCCACCATATCCACAGAACCTAGGACAAGGAATACCTTGTGATGAATGAATGCCTTCCTGGCAGGTCAGTAGCTACTTTCATTCATATATATGCCATGGCCATATTTTTCCAAACCCAAAATATAAGGACTGGGCTTGATGAGGCTTTTTTTCCTAATATATGAATGTATGCAAGTGAAAATACATAGTATCTACATTTCATAAGGAGTTCTCTTGAAAAAAAACTAAAATTACATAAAATTGGGACTGTCTTAGAGAATCTGAGACACATAGTCATCAGGTACATGAAATTCAATTTTTTTTATTGTTTGATAAATGTTTGTTTACCCATGCCTATAGTACTAAAATGTTTAGTTGTCAAATGATCACTGGTAACAGAGGGAGTGCTCATAGGGGAGGATGGGATTCTTGAGTGAGAGTCTGGGTGCACAGGTGGGTTCATGTGTTCACGCACGTGTAGAAGCACCTCCAGTTCAGAATCTACAACTGATACCTCTTAGGGTCAGAGTGAACCTGGTTTACATTTGTTACTTGTCCTTTGGGGAGGGGAAGGTATGTCTCTAACTATAAAGTACATGTCAATCATCTGGGGATCTTATTAAAATTCAGATTCTAATTCTGGGGGGGGTTGTGAGATTCCATATTTCTAACAAGTTCTCACTCGGGTGACATCTATGCACTGGTCAGAGGATCACACTTTGAGAAGCAAATCTCTAATACTATTAAATTACCATGTGGGAAACATGCATTTAGATAAGCTCAGAGAGGAAGTGCTAATCATCAAGGACACGGTGCCCAAAAGACAAAAATATAGAGAATCTAATTTGAGAATAGCAAAAAGGAACTTCTCTAGAAAGAGAGGACTCGGCTTTCTTAATTCATAATAACCCAAATTGATAAGGACTTAAAATAGAATCACTGCTACCTGCTGACTTGTGTGCAGATCTGGTAAACTGTCTAATTCTGGTATGAGAATTGTGAAACACGTATTCTTTTACAAGTTTGATATTGACAACTCTTGGGGCATGAGAAAGGAGAAAGCTTTGCCAACTCTGTGTAGCAGCAGAACTAATATGGACCCATTTCCCCCTTTGCACCATTCTGCTTGTTATAAAACCAGCTGGTATTTTTTTCTGGTTTCCCCTTTTCACGTTTCCCCTCCTTACCACCAACTCCCACCCCCCACATCCTGCTGGTCAATAATGTGTCCATTGTGACCTTTCCTCCCGCTGCTTTTGTATGGGCAGGCAAGTCAACCGGAACCCTCACCCCACCTGGGGTGGCAGTGGGGACTGAAAAGGCAGGATTTGGGCATTCCTGTGTCCTTTAGCAACTTCCAACAATAATGAGTGGACATGATCTGTCACTATACACAGCAACTTCCTTCCCAGTCCATAAAAACAGCAAAAAACAAACCTCGCCTTTTCCTTCCAGGTTTTTATGTTCCTTAAGAAGTTGCTCCACGCGTATCACACTGTCTCCAATGTCTGTAAACTCTACTTGCTCTGCCAGCAAATTGTTCAGGGCAAGCTTAACCTGTAAGACACATTAGAACATCCAGAAATAAGCCCTGAGCACCTCTCTGGAGATATAGGTTTATATACTCTAAGAAAACTTGAAAATCCAAAAAGGATTCAGGACTTTTGTGTATCTATATATACATTTTCTTTTTACAGCTCATAAGCGTTTAGATTAAGCTCAGGGCAGGGGTGGAGAGAGGATTATGGTGCCAAGACACATAGAGATGAAAGAGTATAGCTACATTCACAGATTATCAGTCAAAAAGGAAGATAAAACATACATGAAATATCATGTATGCCAACAGGAAAATAGGATGCTAGAATATTGCTACCCCACTGAAAAAGGGAGAAGAGAATAATCAATGAGGAAGCAAGGATATAAGGAGAGGGCTGGATTAGGGAGAAGAGGGACACTCAATATCCAGAGTTCAAGGGAGAAAAGAGAACCAGAAGTCACCAAACCATGAAAGAAAGCTCTATTCAACAAGAAAGTAACACCTCATAAAAATTGTGCTCAAAGTGTTGTAGTTGTAGGCATTGGTTAAGCTTCAAGTGATGCTCAGACCAAAACTGATTAAAGGCTTTTTCTGTCTCATCCAACTGAAGTAACAACCTGTCAAGAAAGAGAGAGTGACATTGTGGTTAGTGTTCATTTCCACAGGAGTCCATGTAGGGTTATGTAGATAACCCCTATGTTTCCAGTCAGTGTTAAGAACTACGGGAATCTCCTTTTTATGCAAGTCTCTGTCACCTATGACTTTCTCACAGTTCAGCTGGAAATGGAAAAATTTTCCATTTTTCTATCAGGACACCCTCAGCACTAGGCAGAAACTTCACTTCGGATGCAGCTGCTGTGCTTTGAAATGTGCCCCCAGGTAACCTTAACTTTGTGCCTTTTGTTTTCTACCTGAGATGACAGGTGTGTAAAGCATAGCATCTAACCAAACTGTTATTTGGAAATATAGATAAATACGTACTACCATCTCCCTTGAAATCCTGGGATGAGAGCATAGCACAAAAGGAGGGAATAGCATTCTCATAAAAACATCTCTGTCGGTAGATACCATCTTTTTGCCTTTGTTTTCTCAAATACTATTCTTTCTTGACTCCACCAAGACCCAGGAGTAGCTGTACCAATTGTTCTTGGCTGTTTCAGATCGAGTTCTACATATTCCCCCCTCTCTCACTCACCTTTCCATGGTAGCTACATTCTCTAGTTCATTGGGATTGAGTTTGCTGGTAGGACTTTTGGTTGCTGTTTCTTGAATACATGACAGTAATGTGGTCCCTTGCTTTCCAAGTAATTTCAGCTCATCCTAGAGAAAGGAAAATATAGTTTGTCTCAAAAGAAATGAACAAAAGCAAATTCTTGGTGGGATTTGCAGTGAGAAGAATGGCAGATCAAGCTGTATCTTTCTTATAGGAAATTAAATGCTAAAGAAGTCAAGCTGCAGCTTTTAAAAATTAATTAACTCCTTTATTTTTGTTTTTTTTATTTTAATTCCAGTGTAGTTAACATAAAGTGTTATATTAGTTTCAAGTGTACAATCCAGTGATTCAACAGTTCTAATATATTACTCAGTGCTCATGATGGTAAGTGTACTCTTGATCCCCATCACCTATTTCTCCCATCCCTTCACCCACCTCCCCTCAGGTAACTATCTGTTTCTTCTCTGTAGTTAAGAGTCGGTTTTTTGGTTTGTCTCTTTTTTTCTTTGTTTTCTTAAATTCCACACATAAATGAAATTATATGGTATTTGTCTTTCTCTGACTGACTTATTTCTCTTAGCAGTATACCCTCTAGATCCATCCATGTTATTCCTTTTTATGGCTGATTCCATTGTATATACACACCACATCTTTATCTATTCATCTATCAATGGACACTTGGGCTGCTTCCATAATCTGGCTATTGTAAGTAATGCTGTAATAAACATAGGGGTGCATATACCTTTTCAAATTAGTGTTTTTGTCTTCTTTGGGTAAATGCCCAGAAGTGGTATTATTAGATCATATGATTATTAACTTATTTTTAGCAGGTAATACATATACATGATACAAAACCCAAAATATACAAAAGGATATATATTGGAAAAAATAAGTCTTTTGTCCCCTGCCCATCCACTTTTCCTCTCTAAAGCAGCAACTGTTGAATTTTATACCTCAAACTGCTGTTATATATTTAAAGCAAAAGCAATAAATCAATAATTTTTAATTATTACTTAATTATTTATGTCAATTGCTTAATAATTAATAATTTTGAATTTATTAACAAATTAATAAAATCTGGTTCTAATCCAGGGCAGTGACCAGAAACAAGAAAATGACAGATACTGAATAATAACTGCTAGAAACTGGCATGTAATAATAATGTAATAGTTGCTAGTTGACCAGGAAAAAAACTTCATCTGGTCTCAGTTGACACCTGCCTCTCCTTTTATCTGCCCGTAAAGTGTGGCTTGTTCAATTATGGAAGTTTGGCGGAGATGGTCAGCAACTTCGGTTTGACATGGAAAGAGTCATACTTCCAAGGCAATTCTATTCCCCTCCTTTTACATGGGATGTGGGGTTTGCAGTTGGAGAAGATGTCAGGTTATCTCCTGCCAAATCCACCAGCTCAAGACCTCTAATCACACAGCACAAGTCATCTCTCCCAATGCCCTGAGTGAGAACTACAAAATAAGCTAAAGGGGTGGAGCCTGGCAGGGAATTCTGCTCCAAGGAGTCGGGGATTTGGTGCATGGGTCACACAGGATGCTGGTTAGTATGCCCTAAGCATTAGAATAGGCCCATGGTTACAAAACAATACCCTCTATGCACATGAAGCCTGAATCTCTCCTTGGGGCCTGGCCACCTCCAGCCTTCTCACAGTATGGAGCTCATTCCCTGTCGGAGGAGTTTTGGGTTTCTCCACCCTGTTCACACACATGTTCTGGCCCGCTCACCCTCACGCCTTTGTTCCTTATCTCCCATCTTGCTAGTTCCAATATTCATCCACTTGCAGGCTTCTGCTGTCCACACCCAGCCTCAAACTTGTCCCCGGATTTGGTTGATGGTAAATTTGACTTCTCTGATCTGGCCCAAGTTCTTTGGACACCCCCTGTGGCTCTGTCCTCTCCAGGTAATGCCCTGCAGTCAGCCTCTTGGCTGGTACTCCTGCCTGGGAACTGGATACATCCCTTCTTTTCCACTCTCAGGTATCAACCCTCATTTCTTCTTATCTCACCAATGCTCATGAAATATTTGTAGGTTGGGTGAATTAATAATAGTCTAAAAGAAATTAGGTTGATGAACAAGGACAAATAGGATATGATGGGGGGAAGGGGCGAAGCACTCATTAGCAAGTACTCTTACCTTGCATTCTTCCTACCTTCTAAAAAAGGTCTTGGCTTTTCTCACTCAGTTTCTTAGATGTCCTTGAGATTCCAGCATTCCAGTTGGACTCTGGCATTACCATTATTAGATTTTATATCTATTTAGTGTGTGTATGATGTAGAGTTGGGAGGAAGGGTGGAAGGGCCAGAGAACAAGACGAGTATTGCTAGGGCAGAAGACTTTTGGAAGGGGAAGCTCAGAAGAGAGGTATACCCAAAGAACTGCAGAGTGTGAGGAAATGTGTGAGAGAGGGAAGGTGGACCTGAGTACGTGGTCTCATTCACTGTGTGTCCCCTTCACGCTATCAAAAAATACAAGGAAAAATCATGACTGGTTACTGCTTTGGGACTAGGCCATATGTGGTCAGCTTCAGCAGGGTTATAAAAATCTGCCACAGATACACAGGGAAAGATTGAGGAACTATGGTACTTGGAAAGTGAAAAGATAAGTTGCCCAGGCCAAGAGTGGAGTGTGCCCTTGTCCACAGTGGTAACAATTCAGAATATTTAAGAACTGTTTAGAGCAGGCATGGACCAATCAGCACAGTTGTCAGATACAATGCTGAAGCAGTCCTGAGGCCAACTGTGGTCCACGTGTTACCCACTTTAGTGGCTGCAATCCTGAGGCCTCATGGGTCCTCGGAAACGGGCCAGGGAGGTAAAGTCAGACACTCAAGAACATAAATATTTAACAACTGGTATGGCTGTCCCAGTGTGTACTCATTACAGTTCCATTATTATGGAAACAAGCCGTTGGTTCGGAAGACCCACTTAATAGGGCAAGCAGATTGCTTCAGGCTCAAAAGAACTTAAATTTTCTGGGGGGAATTCTTTCCTATGACAACAGTAGGCATGAATCTAGACATTCATTCATTCACTGAAAATACATTTATAAAGCACGACTATCCATGCCAGGTGCTGTGTTCAGCCATGTCATGGGCTGGTGGTGGAGGTGAGATAGGAAGTTAAAGGATGAATCAGAGCCCAGAGATTATAAGAATGACTAACGTTTTAGACCCCTCACTTCACTTTTATTACTTAGCTCCATTTCTGCCACTACAAGTTAGCTCTGCGTGCTTTTGTGTATAATGCTGACTAATGAATTCTAGAATCTATCCTTTAAAATGCAAGTCTTCATAACTGAGAAAAAAGAAGTCCCTAAAAGAGATGAGATACCTCTTTCCTCGGCAGCTATTGAGAGAAACCTTCCTGTGGTATAAAATTAGTGCAAAATGCTCATTTGTTAAGGTATTGACACCGAAAGCATTCATAAGAATACCAAGTTTGTCTTCCTGTGCAAAATCAAGACCTCGGTGTCTATCCATTCCTAACTTACATTCCCCACAGGTAGAGTTTGAACAAAGGGGGTCTCTAAAAACTCCTATGACTATAAAACTATTTCTAGGGGGGCGCCTGGGTGGCTCAGATGGTTAAGCGTCTGCCTTCGGCTCAGGTCATGATCCCAGGGTCCTGGGATCGAGCCCCACATCGGGCTCCTGGCTCAGCGGGGAGCCTTTTTCTCCCTCTCCCTCTGCCTCTCTCCCTGCTCATGCTTTCTTTCTCTCTCTCTCTCTCTGTATCTCTGTGTCTCAAATGAATAAATAAAATCTTTAAAAAAAAAATTATTTCTAGGGCCTACAAAAAAATAACTTGTAATTCCGATTATTTTCTTGATTATTTGTAACCCTGGAAATACTGATAGAACTATCATCTCTGAATACAAAATTGAATAAATACTGACTGGAACAAATACTGAATACTAAACAGTATTCATATTTATAAGAGTGCTTTATCACATAATCAGAGGACCCACTGGCACTTTCCTCCTGCATGATGAGAGAAAGGCCTTTGGCTCTGTTAGATTTCTTATTTTAACAACAACAAAATATGAGAGTCTTACCCTATTTAAATGAACACATGGTAAAGTGTCTCAGTTGACTTAAGGATCTGAGAGCCAAAGGCCAAGACCCTGGGGTTTCTGGCCTAAATAAAAGTGGCAAAGAGTAGATAACCACCTCCTTTGGGATTCAAGAGAGAGACTGCCTGCCTCTATAAACTGCTCCCAAAAACCAGCTCGGAATTAGACAATGGGAAGAGCTGTTTTGCTATGAAAAAGAGTCCGTAGGACCATCATAAACAGTAAGACAAGCACATATCTCTATAGGCTTCATGGCTATTTTATTGTTGTGTTAGGCCCAAAGGTCTTTTTCTTTTTTAAAAAATTGTGATATAGCTCATATAGTACCATAAAATTCACCTTTTTAATGCGTACGATTTCATGGTTTCCCCCCCCCCGGAACATTTTTATCACTGTCAAGAAGAAACCCCACCCCTATTATCCATCACTCTCCATTTCTCCCTCTTCCCAGCCCTGGCAACCACTCATCTCCCTACTTTCACTCTAAGTTTACCTACTCTGGACATTTCATGTAAGTGGATTCACACAATATGTGTTTTTTTGTGTCTGCTTCTTTCGCTCTGCATAATTATTTCAAAGTTCATACATATTACAGCATGATTCAATCAGTATTTCCTTTCTATGGCTGAGTAATATTCCATTGTATGGCTATACCACATTTTGTTTATCCATTCATCAGCTGATGGACATGTGGGTTGTTTCCACTTTTTGGATGTCATGAATAATACTGCTACAAACATTTATGTGTAACTTTTTATATGAAACGTATGTTTTCAAATCTCTTGTGCATACACATAGAAGTAGCATTTCTGGGTCATATGGTAATTCTATGTTTAACCTTTTGAGGACCTACCAGACAGTTTACATTCCCACAAGCAATGTCTGAGGGTTCCAATTTCCTCACATCCTCACCAACAGTTGTTATTGTCCACCTTTCTAATTAGAGCCACTCTAGTGGGTATATCACTATGGTTTTGATTTGCATTTCCCTAATGACTAATGATGTTGTACATGTCTTCATGTGCTTAATAACCATTTATGTATCTTCTGTGAAGATATGTCTGTTCAAATCCTTTGCCCATTTTTCAATTGGGTTGTCTTTTTACAAAGGTTGAGTTGTAAGAGTTGTTTCTGTATTCTGGATACCAGAATATCATCAGATACATGATGTGTAGATATTTCCCCCCATTCTGTGGGTTGTCTTTTCACCTTCTTGATAGTGGCCTTCGAAGCACAAAAGTTCTTAATTTTGATGATGTCCAGTTTATTTATTTTCTCTAGGTGTTTGTGCTTTTGGCGTTGTATCTAAGAAACCACTGCCTGATGTAAGGTCATGAAAATTTACATCTATATTTTCTCCTAAGAGTTTTATAGTTTCAGGATTTACATTTAGTCCCTTGATCAATTTTGAGTTAATTTTTGTATAGGATGTGAGGTGAGGATCCAATTTCCTTCTTTTCCTCATGGATATCCAGTTGTCACACGGCCCAAAGAGCTTAAGCAGGTTTTTGTTCCCACAAAGACAAAACACATTTCATCACTTTTGGGTATTTAATTTTTTTACTGTCAGCACTCAAGCTACAGGAGGAGTTCAGGGACTGGCTTCTGGGAAAATCTATAGAAGTCTGAGGGAGTTTCCATGAATTTCCTCCTTGTGCAGACAGGGTCCTAGTGGCAGCAGGGTGCATGCCACCATACTGTTTGTAAACCGAGAGATGGCCTATAGCCTGTCAAAGTTACTTTTCCTCAGGAAATGGAAGCTCTTCTTGGAGAAGGATCCAATATGCAGAAGACCCTGGGACACCTGCATGCACATGTTCTGAAGATGTTTTCTGAGTCTCCATCCATGTGTAAGAAGCATACACAGGAACAAGATGGGTGTGCTAACAATGAATCATGGAACACTACGTCAAAAACCTAATGATGTACTGTATGGTGGTAACATAATGAAAAAAAAAAAAAGACGGGTGTGCTAAGTTGTATGTGTCTGTCAAGCTCGTCAGAGACATTTCCCAGGAAAATTTCTAGGATGCTTTCAGGTTTTCCCAGTTTCAAACCAGATCTTTTAATTATGCAGAGTAGTGTAGAAAGTACATTTTGAACTCTTTTTGGATATCAAGCTCCTTAAGAAGAGAATTTAACAGTGCTCCCTGACACATGGAAAAATTAATTTGCCTTAACTACTAGACTCTGGGACTCCCCTAACTCAACTATGTGTTCCTTGAGTTTACATTTTTTTTCATTTGTTTTCCTGGCATGTAGGGATAGGTCATCAATAAATGTTGACTAAATGAACAAATCAACCACCTAGCAAAGCATTTTTGTAAATTTGGGGCCACAGATAAAAGAGGTCAGCTCCTGCCAAGCTCTGTGCAGCAAGAATACATGTAATGCTAAGATGTATCCATCTTCTAATCCTCAGCTTGCTGCCCTATGGAGTTCTGGTCTTCTGTGAAATAACGGATATGGTCCATTTGTGCTTCTGGAGGCAGAAAAGAGCTGACGCCCATCCTGTAAGCCCCAGGAAGTCTTCCCTTTACTGCATGATCTGAAAGAATCTGCCAACCTCCGTTCTTAGCAGGTTCTGACGTGCTTTTATGAAGTTAATAGGTGCCTCTCCTTAAAGCCAGTTCAGAGCACTTTCCATGTCTTCTTTCTCAAATTACTCCCCAAATAAAAAGATATATCCCTGAGAAGGTGAAGCAATATGTCAGCTTATTAGTTTGCCCCAAAACTTCACAAGAGCCTCAGGAAAGCTTCTGCCTCAAATCCCAACTCCCACCCCTCACTGCAGTTTTATCCATTATATCTTGCTCTGTCCTGAGCAGATCATAGGAGTGCTGCCCTTGAAACAATGCTCAAACACCTCTCTTAGAGCACAAAGGTAGAATGAGTCTCCCTTTATGGGGCTGCTTCTCACAGGTCTTAATTACAATCCTCTTACATTCACGGACCAGTCTCAAGAGGTTTTTTTCTCTTCACATGCTGCCTATCTAGAAGGTTTAAGATGATCAGTCACTGCCAAGTCACTGGAGAAGGAGGAAGAAGGGGGCTTAACTTCTAATTCTTCTCCTAGCTCCCTCCAAGAAGCTGGCCTGTGAGAGGCCACTGACTACTCACCTGGAGCTTGTCCCGCTGCCTCGTGTGGGACATGAGGAGGTCTTCAGTGGACAGCACGCCTCTGGGTAGCTCTGTTGTGGCTAGGCAGACCCCAAACATCTGGAGCATCTGGGCAGTGGTCTTCAATGTCATGGCAAAGTTTTCAATGGCCTGGAAGGTCAGACAATCATAACAATGAGGAGAGCTTAACATTCACCAATATGTTCTCTGAATAGAAGGATAGTAGAAAGAGCTACCATTCCCTGAGTACCTGCAGTGGGCCATGCATTCTACCTGGTGCTATACCTTTGTCTATCATCTCAACAATCCAGAGTGGAGGGTATTTTATCTCTATTTTACAGTAGAGGGAACTGAACCTCCAACAGGTCAAGTGAATTGCCCAAGAACATATTACTTGGGCAGTAAGGAAGGAAAGAAAGCAGGATTCAACCAATGTCACCAAGTTTGGGAAACAAGTTTGACCCCAAGGGAGAAGATGGACATAGTGCTTAGGTCACTAGTAACCTTTCTGATAGTTACTTTTGTCACATGTGATGAGAAGCTGGGGACCTCTGCCCCTCACTCTTTTGTAGAAATTTACCTTCCACTAAGGACTCTACTCTGCCATTAAATGAATACCTACTAACTGATGAGTAACTTCACAGCTAATATCCCAGATGAGATATATGCATTTAGCAGAGTGCATTTTAGCAGTAAACATATGTCCTAACCTAGAAAAAGTGATGCTTATCATCAGTAGATACAGTTAAAGGCAAGTGGCTTTTCAGAATCTCATAAAGCATTCTAGTCAGCTAGACTGGCTCTACCTTGCCCATTTCCCTCTGCTCCTGAGACAATTTTGCCCTCAAAGGGTGACTACAATTCATCTCCGTTCCACCAGCAAATGGTACTCTGCCTATCACAGAGTAGGTGGCCCATAAACAGCTGCTAGACAGATAACAGGTAGTGACAAAGAGGCCTAACCTAACTTTCATTTGGGAAAAAATTACCTCTGCTCTTACATAATCAGAGAACATTTCTGAAAACCCAAATGCACACCCTAAAGAATGGGCCAGATGTGGCACAGCCCTTTTCTGTAATAGGGGCCAGAGCTGAGGCTGGCGTGACAGAGGCTTCCAGAGCATGGCATACCTCCCAAACTGTCTGAACCCAAAGGCATTCTCCATCAATCATTTTTTTAAGTATACCCTACAGTCAATGTGGGGCTCAAACTCCAACCCTGAGATCCAGAGTCACACGCTCTACCGACTGGACCAGCCAGGCACCTACACCATCAAACCTCTTCATACTTGAAGTACTGCTGTAGGTGGAATCTCCCCTATTAGCCCAAGTATTTATATAGCTGCTGTCCTGAACATCATAGTACTTTTGGCTCGGAAAGTCAGACAAACACTAACTTTTATGAAAATCTTTCTTTCAAGCACATCAAAATGTATTTACTTTTATATAATCTAATATCTGTATAAGACACTCTTTCAACTTCATTTACCAATAGCCTCTAATGAATAACATAAAAATCCAATTTATCAGAGGATTTATAATAAGAAAATATGAGATTAAGTACCTTGCTTAATATGCCCTACTTCTTGTAATGCATCTCAATTAGGTTACTACTACCACCACATTCTATAGATGAGGAAACTGAAGCATATTAAGGTTAAGTAATTTCCCCCAAAGTCATATAAAAAAACAAGTGGCAGAACTGGGATTAAACCCAGGGCCAACACTCTTAAGCACTATGCTATACCACCTCTTGGCAATAAAAACTAGATTTAAAATTAGATCAACGAAAGATCTTGGCTTGAGAGTTTAAGACTTGAATTACAGTCCAGACTCTGCTCTCTAACTGTGTGATCTTGAATAAGCCAGGTATTGCTCTGAGTCCTAGTGTCTTCATTTGAAAAATGGGAATAATGGTTGCTTTGTTTTTGCAGGGTTTTTTGCTCTGTGATTCATTTGCTATCAAAGGAATAGCAAATGTGAAAGGACTTGGGCACAGCAGAGTACCTTACAAGTGTAATAATAATAACAGCAACAACTCTGAGAGTCAGGTGCAAGGCTTGCAGATGTCAACCTGGAGAGAGACGAAAGCCAGGGGTTTCCTATGGAGAGTCCTATTAACAAAATTAACTTGATTCCAGGTATCTGACTAGCAAACAGTCACCTTGGAAATGGTACACAGGACCTGATGCTGACAGGGTGATGAGAAAGAGCGTGGCCTTAGTCTTGGCTCTGTCACTACTCAACTGTATAACCCTGGATAAATCACTTCTTTACTTTGAAGGTCAGTTTCCTTATCTGTAAAATAAGGTAATTGAAATAAATGATCTTTAAGGTTCTTTTCAGTTCTAATGAGTCTCAAAGATCTGACATCCAGAAAGTACACTATTACCCAAAAACTGATTTATATATATTACATATACATGATATGTATATGTATTATATTATTATAGTTCTAATTATATATATATGTGTATATAAAATATATACATAAAACATACAAAAGGCATATAAAGAATATGTCTGATGTTTCAATACTAGTTGTATTTTTTAAAGTTCACTATAATATGATTAACACATGTACAAATACAAACCATGGATACAAACTAGGCCTGGGGTGGGAAGGTGTGTGCACATGTTTGCTCAGGCCATATCTTTAAAAAATCTATGTTCATGGTTTCTGTCTTCTTCACCTCTCTAAGTTCTCAGAGAACTATTCTTATCTTTGATGTCAAGGTACATTCAGGTTTTTTCTTTATTCATTTGGGGCAAATTTGTGTTATTTCAAAAAAGATCTGAGGCAACTTGAAAAACATTAATAACATAATAAAACAAAGGATTGGTAGAGAAGTCAGAGCAAAAGGGAGAGCTAGCTAGGCCAAATAAGGCTGGCAGGACAGTAAATTCTTCTGATTATTAAAGTAACATAATAAAATCCTAGGAAGTGAAGAAATAAAGCCTGGAAGCACTCCAGTTCCATTTTTCATATGGTTTAATGAAATTGCAACACAGGACAACCCTGACCACACTTATTTGTGTGTGATATTCTACATAAGCTTCCCTCCATATCTTTTCTATTTAGACCTAGTGGGAATAATATGTTTGTGAAGAACTTCACCATTCCTTTTTTCATTCTCAATAGTTCTCTTGGAGTCACTGTTACTGTGGTAAAACTGATGAGAAGTTTAAAGGGTTCATGCCAAGGTTGTGGGTCTTCTGCTAGGTTTTGGGAAGGGTCATGTCTTCCTTAGAATTACATAGCGTACAAAGAAGTGATGGAAGGATTAGAAATAAATGCACTTTGAAATAAATGCACTTTTGCTAGAAATCTGTTTTTGTTTAGTTCTTAAATTTCTTTTTTTAAAAAAAAATCACAAAGCTTTTACACTCTAAAAGAGAGTAAATTCTCCTAATCAAATGTCCTTCAGGTGTTTATTGGTAAATGTTGGGCAACATGTTTCCAAAGTTACCTGATACAGAGAGAAGGGGGCTGACACCACAAGTTGTCCCTGGGGTGGTGAGGGAGCTTCTCACTCAGCTCAGAAAACCTAGTCATTTTGAGGGTCTGGGGGCTTTGAGAGTGGAGAAAGGAGAATGGCAACTTTATACAGAAACACTTATTATTTGAGTTTCAATCCCACTTTTTCCTCCATATTACTGACCCTTCTGGTTTAGCATAATAACCATTACTATGAGTGAGTCAAGTAAAATACTATATGTCAGGTGCTTTCACACACATTACATCACTTTATCTCACATCAAACTCTCAGGCAGCTTCTGTTAGTCTGAGGTTTCTCATCATCGGCACTATTGACATTTGGGCCAGACAATTCTTTGTTGTGGGGGGCTGTCTTGTGCATAAGATGCTTAGCAGCACCCCTGGCTCCTACCTACTAGATGCCAGTAACTTGCCTCCTCCCAAATCATGACTACAAAAAAATGTCTTTCTAAAATTGTCCCCAGCTGAAAACCACTGTTAGTTCCATTTTAACAGGGGAGAAAACAAGCTGAAAGAGGTTTAATAACCGACCTAAGGTCAGACAATAAGAATGGTGACAATATGTAAATGCAGCTCCTTCTGACTCGGTGGGTTTTTATCTTTCTGTACATTAGAATCATCTGGGAAGTTGCGTGGAATGCTAATGTCTGAGACCCAACCCTGATCAAGCAAATTAATTTCTCTGAGGTAGAGCAGGGTGCTGGTATGTTCAAAATTCCCCAGGTGCATTCTAAATCAAGTCTCCCCAAAACCGCATGCCAGATGATGAGGTGAGGCAAAGGTAGATATGAGGACAAGTCACAGCCTCTTCCCTTCCGCCCCATTTCTCCCCTACCTGTGGCTTAGAAAATCCAACCATCCCAATGTTAGGTGGTCGTGGGCAATGTCCGCCCAACAGTTGATCTTTAACTGCCCTGTCTTCTGGAAAACAAGGAGAGACAACATAAAGGGCATGTAAATTGGTACTCACAGTTCGATGATTTATCCATTGATTATGGCGGTATTCCAAAGTTCCCCCTAAGTCCTCTGTCAGTTGGCTTTTGTCAATGTAGCCATGGAGGTCAGACACAGAGTTTAACATAATGATCTGTAGGGGAAAAAAATCAATATATTCCTTACAGATAATTAAAGAGTAGCTCATCTAGGTTCTATTATTTAAGCAGCACTTGAACTTTGCCTGATCAGGAATTCATATACAAGGAGTTGCTACATCCAGCAGAGAAATGTTTTATATTCCCTTTACATTTTCCCCCTTTAAGCGAGGAATAACAAAGGTTGTACAGTCTATGACAAAAGAATGACTTGGTTTGGGGACTCTGTTCTAAGCTACCCAGAAGTCGGCTCTTACTTTAGGTGGATTTTTATCAAAAGTTACCAAGCTAAAGTATACTCTTCGGCCACCAAAATCAAGTGCTATATTGAGACCTAAAAATCTGCAATGAGAAGCCCAGTAAGGGGTAGGCTGGTGAATATCAAAATAAAATTAGAATATGGGCACATACTGAGGAGTGTGTATTAAAAAGATTTACTACACTGATGCCTCCCATGAGGAATGTTGATATGCCCCCAATTTATCCTGCATGGAGGAGATTTGGAGGTAATAGGGAGTGGCTTTTTTGAATTAACAATCTGGTTCATTAACAAACCCATCCTGGAGCGCCTGGGTGGCTCAGATGGTTAAGCGACTGCCTTCGGCTCAGGTCATGATCCCGGAGTCCTGGGATCGAGTCCCGCATCGGGCTCCCTGCTCAGTGAGGAGCCTGCTTCTCCCTCTGACCCTCCCCCCTCTCATGTACTCTCTCTCTCTCATCTCGCTCTCTCAAATAAATAAATCTTTAAAAAAAAAAAAAAAGAATAAAAAATGACCAGGGCGCCTGGGTGGCTCAGTCAGTTAAGCGTCTGCCTTCGGCTCAGGTCACGATCCCAGAGTCCTGGGATCGAGCCCCACATCAGGCTCCATGCTCAGCAGGGAGCCTGCTTCTCCCTCTCCCTCTCTCTCCCTCTGCTCACGCTCTCTCTCTCTCTGTATCTCTGTGTCTCAAATGAATTAAAAAAAAAAAACAAACCCATGCTGATGAGCGAATGCCCACACACCTAGAGGGAGTAGACACATTTCAAATTGTCCATTTCTGCTCCTCTGCAGTGGCTCTGACCAGGTCGTGGTCCTAGCTCTCTGTTCCAGGGATTATATCACACCCCCTACTCACTCCTAAAGAGAAACAAAGACCCCTCACTCTTACTTCTGAAACATGTCCCCCTGTAAGCCTTTAACTTAGTGACTTTATATTTCTTCACTCCTTGTTGATTATTTTGAAAACTGACTCTCGGTCAGAGACATAAGAACATAGGCTTTCTGGGGTGCCTGGCTGGTTCAGTTGGTGAAGCATGCAACTCTTGAATCTGGGTTGTGAGCCTCAGCCCCATGTTGGGTATAGAGATTACTTAAAAATAAAATCTTAAAAAAAAAGAATAGGAGCTTTCTTCTATTATTATATAGTATTAGTCAAGTGATAAACCCACTTTGGAATAGAAACAACCTAAGTTAGGGCCCAAAGTCTATAGGTGAAAACAAAATTGATGTACTCATTCAACAAATAATGTATTGAATTTCTAATAAATGCCAGGGTCTGAGGGATAGCACAACAGTCCCTGCTTCAAGGAACTCAGGTTTAATGGGATTTGGTTACTGCATATCACTGTTAACCTTATCAGGTCCCTGACTTTCTCCTTCACTTCTGAAAAGGAGTTTGGGAATTTTTTTTTATTAATTCATTAATTACATTTTTTTAAGTAAGCTACACCCAGAGTGGGTCCCAAACCCACACCCTCAGATCAAGAGTCACATGCTCCACCAACTGAGCCAGCCAGGCACACCAGAAGTTTGGGAATTTTTAAAATTACATTTATAATATGAGAAAAAGTAGAAAGAAACCAAACCTGAATCCATTTTTGCCTTTCCCTCCTAAAAATTTTAAACCACTTTGGGAGTTTCAAAAAGATGTTTAGTCTTTCTAAAATTAGAAATTAAAGGACACAAAACAAGAAACTGCCAATATATTTTGCTTCTTGAAATATTAATTGCTATGGTAACACCTGGAGTTTTTTTGTTTTTTTTTTTAATACCAATGTGGAACATCTTATTAGGCAGAAGTAACTTTGCCACACAGCCCGGAGTTTTAAAAAACATATCCTGGGGGGCCTGGGGGGCTCAGTCGGTTAAGCATCTGCCTTCGGCTCAGGTCATGATCCCAGGTGAGCCCTGCGTCGGGCTCCCTGCTCAGCAGAAAGTCTGTTTCCCCCTCTCCCTCTGCTGCTCCCCCTGCTTGTGCTCTCTCTCTCTGTCAAATAAATAAACAAAATCTTAAAAAAAATGAAATTAAATTAAAAAATAAATTAAAAAAATAAAATAAAAAACATCCTGCCAGGCTGCACATCTTCTGTTCCACCTAACTTCTGTTCCATGCTTGCTGGGACTCTGCCCACTCATCTTTAGCTGTAGAGGATTAAGAGAAATTTTAAAGTGGAAGCTAAAAATGAAAATTAGAAATAAAAGGAAGATATTAGAGGATTTAGTACCGTTAAATATTGATCAAAGCAATCCTAATTAAAATCCCAGCAGACTTTCTGTAGAAAGTCTCTCTCTGTAGAAAGTCTCAAGTTAACTCCAAAATCTATACAGAAATGCAAAATAGATAGAATAGGCAAAACAATTTTGAAATGAATAAAGTTTCAAGACTTATAAACTAAAAAGATCAAGAGTTTGGTAACGGCAAAGGACAGACAAATAGATCAATGGAACAGAGTAGAGAGTCCTGAAATAGACTCACACAAATATGGTCAAGCGATTTTTTTAACTCTTTATTTTAAAGTAATTAAAGTAATTATAGTAATTTTAAATAATTACATAGGTACAGATTCACAGGAAGTTGCAAAGATAGTACAGAGAGGTCCCATGTACCCTTCACCCAGTCCCTGCCCTCGATGGTTGCATCTTACGTAATTATAGTACAAAATCAAAGGCAGGAAGTTGATATTGACGTAATGTGTATGTTTAGTTCTATATTATTTTCTCACATCTGTAGATTTGTGTAACCACCAGCACAATCAAGATGCAGAACTGTTTCATCACTGCAAAAGTCTCCGTTATGCTATCCTTTTTTTTTTTTAAAGATTTTATTTATTTGACAGAGAAAGACACAGCGAGAGAGGGAACACAAACGGGGAGTGGGAGAGGGAGAAGCAGACTCCCCGCTGAGCTGTGAGCCCAACACAGGGCTCGATCCCAGGACCCAGAAATCACGACCTGAGCCAAAGGCAGATGCCCAACCATCTGAGCCACCCAGGCACCCCACCCTTGTGCTATCCTTTACAGGCAAACCCCACCCCCCAATTATCCCTGAACCCTGGCAAACACGAACCTGACTTTTGACAGAGGTGCAAGAAGTCAATTCCATGGAGAAATAATTCCAACAAATGGTGCTAAAACAACCAGACATCCATATGCAAAAAAAGGAACCTTAGTTTACATCTAATACAAAAATTAACTCAAAATGCATCAGAGATCTAAATGTAAAACATAAAACTTGGAGAAAAAAAACATAAAGGAAAAATCAGGAGAAAATCTTTGGGTTAGGCAAAGAGTTCTGAGATACACCACCAAAAACACAACACATAGAAGAAGAATTGATAAACTGGACTTCATCCAAATTAAAAACACTTGCTCTGCAAAAGACATGGTTAGGAGGATGAAAGACAACCCACAAACTAGGAGAAAATATTTGCAAATCATATCTGACATTAGATTCATATCTACTCTCAAAACTCAACAGTAAAAAAACATAATTAAAAATGGGCAAAGAGGACTTCTAAAAAAATGGTGGAGTAGGAGGACCTCGGCCCACAGACACACCTAGATAACAGCCACATCAGTGCAGCTAACTCAGAAAACCCAAAGGCTGGCAGAAGAGACTTTCCACAGTTAATAGAGAGGAGGCCACACAGAAAGAGGTAGAAGGGGCAGAAATGCAGTTGGGAACCAAACTCCCAGGGAGACTTAACCACAAACAGCAGGGACACCATAAGCACGGAGAAGGGTGAGGAGCAGACCCCACACCAGGAACCCGGGGCACAGGGAACCTGCAGTGGGAAGACAAGTCCCATAACATTTGGCTTTGAAAAACAGTGGAGCTTAACTTTGTGACTTTTTACAATCAGGAGGGCTTACCTCCAGGTATTTTAAAAATCAGCAGGCTTAGCTCTGGGAGAGACAGAGGGCGATAGGAAACTGAGTTCCCATCCTTAAAGAGCTAACACAACAAACAACCCAACCAAGGCACGGTACAGAAGCAGCAATCTGAAAGTGCCAAGGGTATATGGGAAGACTTATTTACTAATCTCAGAACCTGCACTGGAGGGGCAGGTTCTTCAGGTGACTTCTCCTAGAACAAAGCCCCAGCAGGTGCCATCGCCCCCAACCCCACCCCAGCCTAGATAGCCAGACAGCTGTGGAAACCAGCTCAAACACTCTCCCATAACTTGCTAACACCACACACCCTACTTCTGCATTCTCCTGCTGATCCACCTCATCCACCCCACCCTACTCCACAGGCATCTCTCCAAAGTGGCTCCTGCCAAGACACATCCTGCAAGCAACCCCCAGTAGGGTCCAGTGCCACTCCAAAGTGACTCCTCCCCTGGGGAAAGAGGAAGATAACCACACACATCAGTGTGACTATAGTCCCAGCAGATGGGACTGGGGCAGACATCTGGTCTAACTGCCAGCCCCACCCACCAACAAGGCTCTCAGGGGGTAGCAAGGGAGAATGCCCTGAAGTTTAGTACCACTGCTGCGCTGGCAGATGGGCTGAGGGCAAGCAGCTGGTCTGACTGCTGACATTGTCCAACTACAAGCCCACAGTGGCCCCAGACCAGCCCTTTAACAGCATGGGGAACAAATTGCCTGGTGCACCCACAACAGGCAAAGTCAGCCATTGCAGCCAACTGGACTGAAAGCAAATGAGGCTCAGCCACAACAGTGGGACACATACAACCCACAAAGGAGACACCCCTAAAGCACCTGGTTCAGAT